GCCTTTAAACTGAAACTTTTTTATAAAATATTACTTGATATTCTGACTCTTGGGAATGTTTTTAATCAAATGACAAAGCGTAAAAAATACGATTTCTCTTTCCTTCTCAAAGTAATTTTCGTCCGAAGTTCAGAACCACTCAGTAATCAGTGTTGTATAAGAAAAGACTTGTGGAGAAAGCTGCATACAAAGTCTATGGGAAAAAAGTAATTATTCATAAATCCATAGTAAATCACTTGATGACCTCGCCATGACGTCAATCTTCAGGACACACCTTTGCTGTAGGGGCTAGAGTTGTTCAACAAGGGACATTAATATTCATGAGTTGACAATGTGGCGCTTGGTCCGCGCCCTCACGACCACGTGCGTGTGTGGTGTATGGGAAGCATGCGATGCCGAATCTGGTCAATGAATACACGCACACACTTGCGGTATATGCTTGCTTTACATGTGGATGAGACTCTCTCTGCAGCAACTTGCGCAAGGGTATAATTTGCCGACGCCGCGTCAACTGTGTGAACAATTTCACAAGCTCGGAACTTGGCACTGTTGAGGCAAATGTTTAAGCTATCATTTAATGGGCAAATCAATATTATATCTGTATGGATTGATTTGTTAGCAATTTTTGAACAAGGAAAGGTCTTTTCAACGGAACTTCCGGTCTGATGACGTCATACGCCTAAAACTTCGCACACGTCTAAAGTGGGTCAAGGTCATCATATACACCAATATTTAGGCGATTCCGACAAAATTCGCCACAGACATCTATTCAAAATACATTTTTGAAAATATTCAACCCGTCGCTAGAGGGCGCTCGAAGATTGCATGACGTCATCGGTAGATGATTTGAAGAATACTATCAGCCAAGAGACTAACACCGTTAAAAGCAAATTCATATCTATTACCACTTTTAAATAATAAGCCACTTCCGGTTTTGGCCTTTTTCAACCGGAAGCAAGGGTCACGTGATTTCACGCACACTGAATGAAATAAAGAACTCAACCTATTCTACCACTTGCCGGCATCAGAATCCTGCGGACGCGTAAGGTTGATTTCTTATGCATTTTTAAATATTAAAAAGTGTCATAATTTAATTGCCTATAAATAAACACAGGATGACGTCATCATGACGTCATCATTACACAATGTTGTTTGAATTAGGGTCTTTGCTTGGACAAAGAATGGTGCAAATGATTTACTTGCAAAGAGTCGAAAATGCCCTTCGTATATCGACATTGTAAAAAAAAAATCTGTGTACAAAGTCTATGGGAAAAATTAAATATTCAAAAATATACAATAAATTAGTCGATGACGTCATCATGACGTCATTGTTCTAGGATCATCCTTGCATAAGGGTCCTTCATTGGTATAAGTTTGATGAAAATCCGAAGTTGCAAAAGCACTCAAGTCGTGTAGAGAAAAAACGTGTACCAATTGAATGGGCTTTTTGGAGAAGAAGAAGAAGAGGAAGAGGAAGAAAAAAAAAAAAATCAAGACAAAAAAAATGCCTTTTTCGCAAAATTGCGAAAAAGCCAAAAATGAGAACAAAAAGAAAGGCTTTTCCGCTTTTTTGCGGAAAAGCCAAAAATCAGAACAAAAACAAAGGCTTTTTCGCAAAATTGCGAAAAAGCCAAAAAACTAGAGATCTATGTCTGTTATGAACAGAACATAGGGTTTTTTTGCATTATGATTTTTTTTAATCAATAATACGTCTCTGACTATTCATGAAAATCGGCTAAAACGGTCACTGTGGTCAGGATTTGGCCTCAGCAACACGTGCCCTGCGGGCTGACTGACATACGATGTATGTGCGTATGTACAACGTAAGTGCATGTACATGTACATTGTGGACGTCCTGTGCATGTTTTGTCAAAGTTAGCCGAAAATCGGTTAAAACGGTCACTGTGGTCAGGATTTGACCTCAGCAACACGTGCGCTAGCGCTGCCGGCTGACTGACATACGATGTATGTGCGTATGTACAACGAACGTGCATATACATGTACATTGTGGACGTCCTGTGCATGTTTTAAAGCAGAGGTATTGTCAACCTGAAGTTTAAAGTACGCGCAGGCCATGTTTGAGTTCGCTTATTGCCTCGAAGCTTTGAAATGTTTTAGACCTACCCTTAAATCGACAATTAAAATAAAACAAATATAAAAACTGCCATGGTTGATTTTTCAGGAATTTTCAAAGGAAAAAGGGTCTTTTCATTTTAACTTCCGGTCTGAGGACGTCATACGCCTAAAACTTAGCACACGTCTTAAGGGGGTCAAGGTTATCATATTCACCAATATTTAGGCGATTCTGACAAACTTCGCCCCAGACATCTATTCAAAACACATTTTTGAAACGTTTCAACCTGTCGCTAGAGGGCGCTCTAAGATTGCATGACGTCACCGGTAGATGATTTGAAGAATACTATCGGCCAAGAGACTAACACCGTTAAAAGCAAGTACATATCTAGTCTCAATTTTAAGATTAAATCTATTAATATTTAACGTAACCCGTAACCCGTGATGACGTCATCATGACGTCACTTCAATTTTCATCTATAACACATCCCGGTCTAGGTACATATTAACTTTCAATCCAATCGGACCAGTGGTTCTGTAGATATTGGCCTTCGAGATATGCACGTTTAGTATGACGTCACATGTCACGTAATGATGTCATCGTGACGTCACTTCAATTTTCATCTATTACACATTCCGGTTTAAGTACAAACCAAGTTTCAACCCAATCAGACCTGTAGTTCTGTAGATATTGGCCTTGAAAATATGCCTATTTGATATGACGTAACATGTCACGTGATGACTAAATCATGACTTCACTTAAATGTTCATCTAAAACACATCCCAGTTTAGGTGCATGCCAAGTTTCAACCCAATCAGACCTGTAGTTCTGTAGATATTGGCCTTGAAAATATGCAATTTTCACATGTCACGTGAAGACGTCATCGTAACGTCAATTAAATATTCATCTACAACACATCCCGGTTTAGGTACATACCAAGTTTCAACCCAATCGGACCTGTAGTCATGGAGATATAGGCCTTCAAAATATGCACCTATATTGTGACGTCACATATCAGGTGATGACGTCATTGTGACGTCACTTAAATTTTCATCTATAACACATCCCGGTTTAGGTGTATACCAAGTTTCAACCCAATCGGACCTGTAGTCATGGAGATATAGGCCTTCAAAGTATGCACCTATATTGTGACGTCACATGTCACGTGTTGACGTCATCATGACGTCTTTATAATTTTCATCTATAATACATTTCGGTTTAGGACCATACCAACTTTCAACCTAATCAGACTTGTTGTTCTGGAGATATAGCTCAATCTGTCAGATATAGCCGAATTCTGCTAGAAAATGGTCACAACAGAAAAATTGCATATAATGTGACGTCATGTGACTCACGATGGCGTCACGATGATGTCAATTTTTGGCACACAACTTCAGATGCTGGTCTAAGTGTTTGCCAAGTATAAAGTCAATCGGATTGATTTTAGTGCCCAAAGTGCCGGAAACAACTTTATGTTCATGCATAGTCAGAGAAGTATTATTGATAAAAACAGTCATAATGCGGAAAAGCCCTATGTTCGGTTGATATCAGACATAGATCTCTAGTTTTTTCTTTTTTAGTCATTTTGCCCATAGCATTTGTACACTTTTTTAAATTTCTGTGTGCAAAGTCTATGGGAAAAATAAAATAATCAAAAAAATTAGTGGATGACGTCACCATGACGTCAATCTTCCGTACACATCTTTGCTATAGGGACAATGCTTATGCTAAGTTTGAATGATGTATGCAAAAAGATTAATGCCAAAAGTGGCACTGAGAAAAAACGTGCACAACGTCAATGACATTTGAAGTGGAAGAAGAAGAAGAAGAAGAAGAAGAAGAAGAAGAAGAAGAAGAAGAAGAAGAAGAAGAAAAAGAAGAAGAAGAAGAAGAAGAAGAAAGAAAGAAAGAAAACAAAAACAAAAACAAAAAAGAAAGGCTTTTTCGAAAAATTTCGAAAAAGCCACACAGAAAAACATTAGAACAAAAAGAAGGGCTTTTCCGCACTTTTCAGAAAAGCCACCAAAAAAACGAAAAAAAAAATCTTAACGAAAACAAAGGGTGTTTCGGCAAAAGTGCCGAAACAGCCAAAAAGAAAAGAAAAGAAAACTTTAACGAAACAGCCAAAAAAACTACAGCTGTATGTTTGTTTGAAAACAGAACACAGGGCTTTTTCGCAATTTACAAATGTTTGTTTTGTTGGTCCCTTTGCAGTCACAGAGTGCTCAATGCAATTAAAGGTTGTTTAAAATGCTTAGAATAATTCCTAAAATAAAATTTTATCACATGACACCACATGCCCTGCAATGACGTCATCTTGACAACACTTGTCAATGCACATTTAGTCATTGTGTTCTTGGTTTGAACCAAGTTTAAAGTCCATCCGATGAAAGGAAGTGTTCGATTTCGGAAGCAGAATAAAGTAACAAATGTTAAAAAATCATAAAAAAAATCAAAAGATGACGTCATCGTGACGTCACTTCAAACTTTGCATATTAATACTATTATCTACCTACCCACCTAGTTGCATGACGACCGTACCTTTCCTTTTTAATTTTGTGCAAATCCCTTTTACCTATCGAACCAAATACAAATGTTTCATTCGTTAGATATGGCTAAAAGGTCTAAACAATTAAATTATTCATATAAAATTGCATAATGATGTCATCATGACGTCACCGCATTTTTTACCCACATACCAAGTTTCAACCCAATTAGACTTACAGTTCTGTAGATTTGGGACTTCAAAATATGCACGTTTGTGATGACGTCTCGTGACCCATAATGATGTAATCATGACGTCACTCTTCGGGACACAAATTTGCTATAACGACAATGCATAAGCTTAATTTGAATGATGTACGACAAAGTTCAATGCCAAAAGTGGCGTGTACTAAAATCGGGTATAAAGTTTATGGGATTTTGCATGGAACAAAAAGAAGAAGGTATTTTAAAAAAAATCAGGACAAAAACAAAGGCTTTTTCGCAAATTTGCGAAAAAGCCAAAACAAATCAAACAAAAAGGAGGCTTTTAATTGCGAAAAAGCCACCAAAAAAAAAATCGGAACAAAAAGAAAGGCTTTTTCGAAAATTGCGAAAAAGCCAAAAACTTTAACGAAAACAAAGGCTGTTTCGGCTGGTTGCCGACACAGCCCCCCCCCAAAAAAAAAATCTTAAACGATATCAACCAAAAATTGAACAAAAACTAAGGCTTTTTCGCAAGTTTGCAAAAAAGCCCCCCCCCCCCCCCCAAAAAAAAAATCAGAACGAAAACAAAGGCTGTTTCGGCTGGTTGCTGAAACAGCCAACAATGATTCAAGATATTGAGTGATGACGTTAATCGGGGAACTTCAGGAAAAAATGAGGTTTCTTTCAGTACTTCAAGCTCGCCTCACACGAGAGCTAAAATCTTAATTTTTCTTTTACGAACGAACGAACGAAAGAACGAAAGAACGAACGAACTAAAGTAGAGACGCGACGACTTGTTGAGCTGTTATCCGCAGCTAAAATCGTAATTTCTCTTTTATATAGGTTTGCTTACATTCGCCCAAGCGAACACTGTTGAAACTGTGTTCTTGGAACGAGGTCACCGTGTGACCCTGCCCTGTCCTCTCGTCAAATCTCGCCAAATCCCGCCAGAAAATGTGGACGCAATGTACTGGTACTATGGTTCAATAAGCGACACATCCCTGCTCATCTCGTACTTCTTTGGAAGTGTGGCTCCCCAAAACGGGATTCCAGAGGGCGTCTATAATATCGACGATGAGTTCAATCTCATCATTGAGAACATCACCGCCTCCAATGAGGGAAACTACTACTGTAATGTGAAACCGCATTTGAAAATAATGGCGGCAGGAAGCATTGAAGTTTGCGACAAGGGTAAGGTGATGATAATAACGATTTCAATTAAAAATTCTTCTGTCTGGTATGTAAAAAACTGGAGATGCGTACCCAGTTCGGAGGAAGCCTAAAGTCTGTACAATCTCTTTGACGAGCGAGTCAAGTATTTTGCTAATTGGCCATTTGTAAATTGATGAGGGCGCTCTTTTTACGCCACATTCTTGGTATGCAAGCACAAGAAAATCCCGTTTACTTAAGCAATTGTGTAACTTTAAATAACTAAATATTTTTTAAAAATTTTATATCTAATAGCGAAACGTACTCCAATTGCCTTCCATTCATAGAATAAATACTCCCATGTCCTAATCAAAGCGCCCTCAAGTATAAGGCCTTTTTCATTTAAATAATTGATTTTTCAGCCACATTATTTGTTTTCTTGCCAACTTTTTTCACAAACAGTCTCCCCAAGGCGTCCACATCCTGCCGTCATCGACTGCAATCCAGACATCTTCGACGCAGAAAAATGCGAGGTACCGTGCGACAGTACTCCCCCGGCGCACAACCTGACCTGCGTCATGAAGCAGGTCAAACCTGCCGTGGAATTGAGGTGGATCCGTCTGTTCTTGGGCGGGCAGACGGAACTGAACGCCTCAACAACAGTCAAACCTGTGGTTCTGCCGGCCAAAACGGGTAAGCAGTGTTCTTCTTAGGCGAGCCATCAGATAAGGCGAGCCATCAGATAACACAGGTACCGTTCGGGTACCGGGTCCGGTATGCTAATTTCTTTCGCCCCAATCGGTACGAAGCCAGAATAGGTAGCAGACCAGTAAATAAACTTCCATAGACCCCAATGGTAAATGCTCCCACTTCACAAATTCGGGAAAAATACTCACAAGGTGTGAGTAAAAAGTGTTAAAGACACACATCAAATTAAAGCTTATTTCATAATCTTTCATTTCTTTTTTATTTTGGGGGGTCAACTGATGACTTTTAGGAGAAATTTCCATTAGTCCTGAAGCCCATCGCCATTTTGAAAAACGATGCCTACAATCCATTGCAAAATAGAGCGCTTTTAGGGTCCAAATTACATCAAAATTACACAGAACTGCAAGCTCCCAGTCCTGTGCCCGGCTTCCACCCATATTTTTTACAAATCCTCAAGTTCATGGCCCACAGCATGCTCAAATACCGAAGATTTGGAGGGCATGCAAATCGTGATTTGGCCGGCGCAGGCAATTTCGGACCGATTTACTGGTCTGCACCCAGAAGCCACCCGGTTACTGAAGCGTGACGACCCAATCGGTCCAAAGTGGTGACTGAGGGTTTCACAATAGGCAACATAAATTGAAGTGTGGCTATTGTTGGAGGATTATTCGGCCTGCTGGGATTACCGGCGGCAACTTCTTTGAAGCTCACCGTCATTGTTGACTACTGGAGGATTAGCGCATCGCAAATTGGTTCCTTTGTGATGAGCCAGAGCCATGGTGCAGAAGCCTGGTGGAGTTAATCCAGGCCGATCGGTTCCAGGCAAGGTCCAAATCCCTTCAACATACTGGGCGGGCTCATCCCCGAACGGTCCGGGGAGGGATTCTAATTTGAGGGCTCGCCCTAGTAGTGAATTGCTTTTAAATTTTGTCTGTGCCCATTTTATAATGTGCTCCTTGAAAGGAACCAGGGGTCATAACACCTCTATACGAAGCTAAAAGAATCATTTGCTTTCCATTCATTTCGTTCGTCTCCTGTAATAACATCACTCAAAAGAGGAATGTTCAAAACCATGCCAATTGAAGCTTCAGCTCATTGGATATTACGATTTTCGAGAAAACAGAGAACAACTAAAGCAGAACCTTTTCATTACAAAACACGATTTTGTCCATAATACTCTATATTTTCAAAGATCAGTCAATTCGGGCGATTCACAATGCATTGCGCCACCAAGAGTTTGCCACAGAGAGTTCATTTTTCCTAGTGCATTGTGGGAGATGGTCGGCAAACTCGCAGCGCGCGCGGGACATTTGAAATTGTTAGTTTTGTTCTGGTCAGCAGTTTCGTAATCGTACGATTCGAGTGTATACATTTGCCTTTTTCTTTTCTTTTTATTAATATGGTGTTTTTTGGTAATTGGCAGAACGCTATGCCCAATCTATAACTTGCTCAAATTGTCTACTGACACTCATTCAAATGAACTATGTTTTGTCGACCGTAAGCTTGAAAAATGACCTCTCCAATGAAAACTCTTGGTGGCGCACTTAATTGTGAAACGCCCAAATTGACTGATCATTCGAAAACACCTACATTTCTTGATTTCTTCTGAATGACTTAAATAAGCTTTTTTATCATAATTCGGTTGTTTTTTGGGGGGATAAATGCAAAATACCTTTAAACTACCGTCCATGTTTTGGTATCATAAAAATGAGTGACACTCATGGTCAGTAACTGTTTGACACTTTAATGTTCCTCCAAGTTTATCGATATTGATTTCTGTAGATGTTGGACCATGTTTCTGTTCTGGTTGTTAGGTCAAACCAGGTTTGCTGTAAGGTGTTGGCATAGAATGAGATCTCATCAAGTTTGAGATCTTGTTTATTCTGAGCTTCTTAGACCAACTAAACACAAGCGCCTTGGTAAATTCTTGCTCAACGAGCATTTCAAAGGCCAGTAACTTCTCACTCTCTTTCCGACAATTTTCTCGCGTGTTTTGCAAGAAAAAAATGTTTTCTTTCAAAATGTACCTATTGCCTTTAAATTTGTCAATCAGGGTCGTGGTTGAGGAACAACACCTACTCAACTTCAGCATCTATCCAAGTTGAAGCAGTTGACGATGAGGAAGTCTACGAGTGTGAGGCACTGGGTGTTGCTGTAGGAGGCAGTACACGCACGAGGGTGCGCCTCACCAAAACTCGCCCCACAACTTATGACACAACGGCAACTTATGACACACCGACAACTTACGATGAAGTTCAGCCCTCCAACAATCCAGGTGGGTAGCACTCTCTTGTCAGAACCGATTTTTAGGGGATTAACTGTCAATTTGGTTAAAGGGAAAATACAACAATTGCAAACATCAACAAAAGAAATGATCAAATTATCACGAAATATCTCACTAGATTGTTAGGGAATGACAGTCTAAAGCATCCATTAAAATCGTGGCTCCTGGTGAGCTGACATTTCCAAGAAAACTTGTATTTTTCCAACGCTGGTCGGCCGACCAACGTTGGAAAAAACTGACTTTTTTCAAAAACTTCTCCTAAATTTTCATATTTAGTTATCCCGCATTTACTTTGCAATGGTTTACACACCTGTGAAATGGTTCAAGCCTGCTCGACTGATTCTCTGACCTTACAATTCCCCCAGTTTATAAATTGCTCCGTTTAATCTTAAGTGGGATCAGGGAAGCAGACTACAAGAACATGATTGGTTTACTTGTGAAACAAGTCAGTTTAATAATTTTTGCTATACCATACTTATCTTCCAAATCCATTTATTTCTGAAAAGTGCAGCAAAAGCAAATGCTGTACATTCCCTTTAAGTCATTACGATGTTGTTAAATGGTTTGAATACGAAATGACGCGAAATGTGATAAATGAATGTCAAGTCAAAAAGAGCCCAGTACTGTGAAAAGAGAACTGTACACTGCAAAAACGTGTTTAGGCCAAAAAAAGTCTCCGGTTTCTGGTATGGAGCTTGCCCAAAAAGTGGTGCGGCGACGTGGCTTTTTTTTTTTACCTGCTTTTTTGGCTTCATATGTCGGCTGATGACTGCAAATGGTGCCCGACTAACTTTAGTGCAAATATATGGGAGTCCAGAGAGGCCACATAAAGCTTATTCTCGACCATAACCCAATCTAAAAACACGTTAAAATTGTGCAGCAGCAGGATTCCAGTCAAACCAGTGAGTTTGGCGGTTTTGAGCCATCATCTTTCATTGAAAAAAAAATTCATTTTGCCGACGAGCATTGCTACGGCGACGCGCGCGCATACCAGAAGCCGGAGACTTTTTTTTGGCCTTAGTGATTAATCGCAATTTTTTTTTTAGAGATTATGAATTGTAAAACGTGTGAATAAAAGTGTGAATTTAATGATAGGAGTGAAATGTTTAAAATATGCGTACAGACCGCTTACACGGTGCGCCTTCAGTGAGAGCAGTTTTTGTTATTTACATTTAGTGCCAATAAAGGTGTAAAACAAAAAGTGTATACCAATGCGAATCGCCAATCGCAGAACAAAAACCTGGCTTCAGATGTTACGTCAGATGCAAGGGGTCCATTTGGTAATGAAACAATGAAACTGAATTTGATTCGATGAACTAAATCAAGTCAGATATTAATTAAATCAAGTCAGATATCAATATTGAATCAAGTGAGATATCAAACAAATTAATTCAGACATGATATCAGGTTGCATCTTGTTTCTCTTCAGAAACAACGCTTGTTTTGGCCGACGAAGTACCACCAACTGCGAGCAAACCTGTTGAATCACGCGTCAGTCTGATTGTGCCAGTGGTCTTGCTTACAATCAACTCAATCATCCTCGCTGTCATTATATTTGTCCTCATTGTAAGTATAACTGCAATACAAACTCTGCGCAGTTTAGCTGCGGAAAAGGGTTACTGAGGGTACATTATACCTTATATTTCTCTTAAATTGTGCATGTTCTTGGTGCGTCATTGAAGATTTAGCATATTTACCGTTGAAACGGCTACTATCGAATGCCTTAGGGACAACTTCTTTACCAGTTTCATTGGTGGATCCAGCGGGAGGCGCAGGGGGCGCACGCCCCCCCCCCCCCCCTCCCCCGTAGAATATTTTAAAATGTATAATATTGGTGAAAAACGGACGGTGAAACGACGGGCCACACGGTTTGAGTTCGAGGAAGAACAATCGTTCAAAAGGCGTGGCAATTTTCACGCACCTCCTAAGACTTTATGCGCAGGTTATGATGGCCGAAGGATAAAACCAAGGTAAAACAAACTGTAGTGGAGTCTCATTTCGCATATTTTTTAGCGCGTCATACGTCCATGAGACTGCACGCGGACAACTGCTGCGTACAGGGCGCTGGTAAGGGCTGATGAGCTTCACAGAATCTTGTGAAGGAAGTACAGATTGACCCTGGCATGCAGCTCGCGCTACGCATGATGGGCACCGGAAGCTAGTTTGTGTGACGCGTTCTACGCAAATCTATCCAATGAGAGCTCAAATGACGTCAGCCCTGACCAGTGTTCTGTTTGCAGGGCGGGGGTACGAGTGAAACCGTTTTCTCTCTCCGGAATCAGTGACTAAACAAAATCAAATCAAATCTATGGCCACTTCAGATTCTGATAAATATTTTTTTCCTGATACGTTTTCATGCTAGTTTGTAACACTCCCCAAATATGCACCCGCTGTAATAAAATATTCAAATTTATGTCAGTTATGTGACCGAGCGCGTGCCCACCGCCCTGCAAACAGGGCGCTGGGATACGCTGATGAGCTTCACATAATCTTGCGATGGAAGTGGCCTATGACCTATGTATGATCTGGCTGCAGCTGTCTAAGACCGCAGTTAGCCAATGCGCGCAAATGCTATCCGAAAACTTCCCCTTAGAAATGAGCACATTCCATACCGGATGTGATTTCTGTTCAATTGCGGACATGTGGACAAATTTTGAGCGTCGCATTATATGCCATCTGACCCATTGTGAATTCGAAACGGAGCCTGAGCACGTGACGAGAAATTGAAAATTTACAAAAGAGATTTACAGATGTTCGTACATTATTACGCTTTTCAACGAAGTAAAGCGTTTATGTATTGGAGTCAAAGAGTAATGAATCAGTCGTAACGGCCGTTTGAAACCTTCCAGGGTCGTGGTCGTGATGACATGCAGGTCACGCAAAATATATCCAATCAGAGCGTGAATTCATCAGCGAATAAGGGCGAGCGTCCAGTTTGCAGGGCGTGGGGTACGAGAAAAGCGCGGTGCCAGCATTGTATCCATTGGCGTCGCCAGGATTTTTTCTAGAGGGGGGCAAAACATTTTTTTTGCCAAACAATGCTTGTATTTCTCAACACATTCTCGATTTATCAGTTTTAGAGAGGGGGGGGGGCAGGAACATTTTGCCCCACCCCCAACTCATTAAATTTTTTTAGTTCAAATTGACATCCAGCTTTTTGGATGTTTTTTTTTTCATTTAAAGACATATTAAATAAAAGGATGTGCCGTCATATAAGAATGCTAGCGGGGACGATCAATTGGTGTTACTTTTTTACTTAACCTTATATTATAATGTAAAGTACCAGAGGGAGGGATACGCACAAGCATAATTAAGGCGTAGGCAGGGGGGGGGGATGGGGCCACTGCCCACTGCTGTAAAAAGTGAAAATAAAACAAATCGAACGTTAAAACAAATTTTAAAATGAAACGTTAAAAAATAGAATACTAAAAAAAGGAACGCGTTATATAATAAAAAAAAAATGGAACATTAAAACAATTTAAAATGGAACGTTAAAAAATGGAATATTAAAAAAGGAACTTTATATAATAACAATACAAATATTGAATGTAAATTTTACCAAAACTCGACGCGAATTCTATTTAAACGAAACAATACGAGTATGTCTGTACAGTCCAAAATGCTATGTACGTGACACGTTAGCGCACACATACCGAAGGCTAAAATAGTTCACGCGCGTTCCTCAAAGCAAATCTGCGTTAGTGTCTGAGTCCAGCATTTCACGAAGACAATATGCTCATAGAATTTGTACGCTGAATCAGCAGCGTATGGCTGATATTCGGACTACCAGTGGCCTTAATCTCTTTCCAAAATACAATATGTGAAAAAAATACGGAAATGGAACATGGTTCTGAACTTGGAGTACATAACAATCTTTATAAGAACAAAAAAATAACACATTGAAATGGAATTTTCTATGTTTAAAACGTGTTCTAAACGATGGGAAGAGGCCAGGAATCGCCTAAGATTGCACCACAAAGCATCTAAAAACCTAAATTTGTCCCGGGCCCTTCAATGGGCCCCGGACCCCGTTTGAAATGTCTCGCTCTTGCCACACGGCAACGTACTACTAAATGTTTTTCCCCCAGATTATTTGAATAAACTTTTTGTTATTGCTGCTTTATGTATCAAAAGATGAAACGTAATAAAGACCACCGTGCAATGAAGATGCTGCCTTACACATCAGTGGCAACTTCCAGCAATGGCCAAAAAGAGGAGTCCAACGTGTGAAGTCATTTTGAGAAGTATGTGAATTAGTTTTCTGGAGTGTCAAGCAGGGGCGGATCCAGAACACAATTTTTGGGGGGAGAGGCAAAACAAATTTTGGTCCCCCCAAAAAGTGGGTCCAAAAAATTACGGCATGGGTTCGGGGCCCGCTTAAGGGCCCCGATTTTTTTTTGGATTCTAGATGCTCTATGGTGCGATCTGAGGCAATTTCTATTTCTGAGGCAATTTCAACCTACAAAGGCGGATCCTGGGGGGGGGGGTGGCAAAGGGGGCCACGTTGCCCCCCCCCCCCCCCAAAAAAAAAACCACCAACGCAATATACATTTTTTAAAGTGACATCGCAATAAAGGCAGGCACTGCGTACACCACCATCTTTTCCTTAAAAAATGGTCAAAGTGGTCAGAAATTGCCTCAGATCGCACCAATGCACCCGATTTCATCAAACTCTTCGTAACTTACGATGCAACGCAGCAATGCGACGCGTCGTATCTCTGCGATCCATTTCACAAAACGCGTCGTAAGTGCGACGCGTCGTAGGTGTATTTATAGCGCAACTCGGTGACTGTTTTATGTCTTTAGTCAGCGTACAGTAAATAGTCGTCTGATATTCAACAAAGAGTCGTCGGATCTCCGCTCAAAATTCGTTAAAACGTCAAATAAAATGGCGGCCGTGTGATACAATTCTAAAGGAAAACAAGCTCTCAGTGCACTGTACAGCTACTTTGAAATTTTAATTGCAATATGCCAGGCTGTTGCATAATTATTCAATGAGTTTCTATTTACAACTTTACACATATTGCCTCAGTATTATAATCTCGATTATGTGCTATTTAAGGCATAAAACCGGCCAAGAAAAGGACTCTTCTTTTTTTGCGACGACCACTAGACACGTCGTAACTTGCAACTTGTTTTAAGCCGTTGTCGGGGAACTTACGACGCGATCAACACATCGAAACTTTCGTGAAATGGATGATACGACGCGTCGCGAGTTGCGACCTGTTACAGGTCGTAACTCGAATCGTGACGCGTCGCAGCGCTTCGTGGAATCGGATGCAGTCATCAAAATCACACACATCGCCAGTCATCAAAATAACGCACATCGCCAGTCATCAAAATCACACACATCGTCAGTCATCAAAATCACATACATCGTCAGTCATCAAAATCACACAAATCGCCAGTCATCAAAATCACACACATCGCCAGTCATCAGAATCACATACATCGTCAGTTATCAAAATCACACACATCGTCAGTTATCAAAATCGCATACGTTGTCCGTTATCAAAATCACACACATCGCCAGTCATCAAAATCACATACATAGTCAGTTATCAAAATCACATACATCGTCAGTCATCAAAATCACACACATCGCCAGTCATCAAAATCACATACATAGTCAGTTATCAAAATCACATACATCGTCAGTCATCAAAATCACACACATCGTCAGTTATCAAAATTACATACATCGTCAGTCATCAAAATCACACACATCGTCAGTTTTCAAAATTACATACATCGTCAGTTATCAAAATAACACACATCGCCAGTCATCAAAATCACACACATCGCCAGTCATCAAAATCACATACATCGTCAGTCATCAAAATCACACAAATCGCCAGTCATCAAAATCACACACATCGCCAGTCATCAAAATCAGATACATCGTCAGTTATCAAAATTACACACATCGTCAGTTATTAAAATCGCATACGTTGTCCGCTATCAAAATCACACACATCGCCAGTCATCAAAATCACATACATCGTCAGTTATCAAAATAACACACATCGCCAGTCATCAAAATAACACACATCGCCAGTCATCAAAATAACACACATCGTCAGTCATCAAAATCACACACATCGCCAGTCATCAAAATCACATACATAGTCAGTTATCGAAATCACATACATCGTCAGTTATCAAAATTACATACATCGTCAGATATCAAAATCACACACATCGCCAGTCATCAAAATCACACACATCGCTAGTCATCAAAATCACATACATCGTCAGTCATCAAAATCACATACATCGTCAGTCATCAAAATCACATACATCGCCAGTCATCAAAATCACACACATCGCCAGTCATCAAAATCACACACATCGTCAGTCATCAAAATTACATACATCGTCAGTCATCAAAATCACATACATCGTCAGTCATCAAAATCACATACATCGTCAGTTATCAAAATAACACACATCGTCAGTCATCAAAATCACACACATCGTCAGTTATCAAAATTACATACATCGTCAATTATCAAAATAACACACATCGCCAGTCATCAAAATAACACACATCGCCAGTCATCATCATCACACACATCGCCAGTCATCAAAATCACATACATCGTCAGATAACCAATTCATAGTATACTTTTTATATGGGATATGTCTTTAAACTGAGTTTGGCTCATCGATAATTTGTGACAAATTTTGTTTTGATTGGTTACAAGTGTTACGAGGTTAAAGTTCACTGGTTAACGATCCCAGCTATCCTCTAAAATGATATAGCAATCACACGGGATATAACATCCGCTCGTTTAACAGTGGTAGCGTTATTCATTTTCTAATTCTGTTGCTTCCTCCTATTTTTCAGCTGTTGAGGCAGCCGAAGCGAATGGTGGAGACATTGTCCTATAAAGCAGGAAGGCTAATCATGTGGGAGAGACGTCATTTCATCTGGTCGCTCATTAACATTTTTTTTCTGAAATTAATTGAAATTAGTTTATGTATTTCAGTTTCATCTGTATTATAAAACTTATTTGCCAACAAATACTACAGGGTGTTCCCCCATAGACCGGAACCCTCAAAGGGCCCTCTTTTCACAGCTTAAAACAAATATATCGCAAATTTCGATACGTATTTGGAGAGTGTAGTTCATCAGCTTCTCGACAACGAATTATTTTAGGTAAATGTTGAGGTATTTTTTAAATGCTGCAAAAAAAGAAGGCACTTTGAGGGTTCGGTTTTTTGGGGGGACGCCCTGTATTATGATCAGTGTATCAGGATAGTGTTTATTGTTGTGTTTTCATTCACTTATGTATAAAGATAAAAGACCAGTAAACTCTGCCAATTTAGGGAGACATTTGAGACGTTGGTGGCAGCAAACACACCGGTCCTTTTTCCATTATTTGCGTCATATTGAGCATGCGCGCTTCACTCTAAAAACAACTTAGTCAAAATATTGACTGGTTTTCCTAGTTATTGAAAATTGACTAGGAATTTAGTTAAACATGCAAAGTTTCATACTGTGACTAGAAAAAGTAGTTGGGTTCGACTCGAGATTCAGTTATTGGCATAACTATTTTTCCCAAGTCAATAATACTGACCGGAAAAATCTAGTCAGATTGACTGATTTTCAGTTGCACCCAGCGGACCCTGAATGGCTAGTCATATTTAACTGGTTTCTAGTCAAATCTGACTAATGCTTTTTTAGAGTGTTTAGCTCGAACATGACGTAAACAGTTGAAAAGGACTGGTGTGTTTGCTGCCACCAACGTCTCAAATATCTCCCTTGTTCATGTCTGAATTAGGGCATTGCCAAGATATCATAGATATACAGAAATCGCCACCTACTGTGAAATCTGAAAAATATTCTGGACCCTGCCCTCCTCGATTATCGATTAATGGATGCAGAATCAACGGATAAATAGGGCGATACAACTCTTATATAGTTAGTTATAGTTGGCATGTGTTTGTTTAGGTCTTTGTGTGGGGTTGTTTGTTTAAGTGTGTACGTGTCAGATGTTTATCATCAGTAAACACGGGAGCAAAGAGCAGGTTGCTGTGGTGTACTTTGGAGGGTCTCATTTGCTAGAGCATTCAGTGAGTTTTTAACTGTAAATTCTGAAATATCAGTACTTCACTCGATTGAAAAGTAGATAACAAGACAACGTATTTTTTTTATTTAAAGGAAATTCCTTTTTTTTTATAAATTATTCAATTTATGATTTTAGTCCTATGTTAATGATACCAGTGATTGTGCAAATTGAAAGAAAATACTTATGATTGTTAATGTTAACATGGGTTTGACATTTTGAAATAATTCCTTTTGATTTTTTTACTGGATTACAAGATACACTTAATTATTTTCTGGTATAATGACTTATCCATGTTTATAATTCTCGCGTTGACAACACAATGATGAAATTAAAAAATCCCTTTCAAAATTATATTGACGTAATCGTTGTAAGCTGCATCCGAATAATAAACACGTTTACATCTAAAATTATTGGTTGATATTTCTTCGGCATTATTAACTTTATCCTCATCCTGTGAACATTTCTCCTGATTGATCGATCCCAACAGGATTTGCAGGGAGATTTGAAATTGGATAAGATGTATTCTTTCAAACACCATGGAATCTAGCTAAGGTGAGCTCTCTTCTGTACATCAACTCACCGACAGTCTCAGTGATGTCCAAGCAACTAACTTACATTTCATTTATACGGTTACGTTAGGGAATGGGCATATACCTCCTCCACCCCGCCAGATCACACCACCCAGAATTGAGAGAATGCAAAATTAGCTTTTTAGTTGAACAACTCTTGGCCGTATTCACGAGTTGGCCATTTTTTGTCAGATTCCCTGAATGTATTTTATTAATGGTTAACTGTTGAATTGGATGGCGCCAGACTATTTATGTAGGCATAATGCAGCCTTATTTTACAGTCATTTTTTTTTAAATCTGGCTTTAAATACTAGGGAACGTTTAATTACCTTTTTTTTTTTCATTGAATCAGACTGGAATTAATTAATTTGCTTTCATTTCCCTTCGCAAGTTCCAAAAAATAAGATTTTACCTCACTTTCAATTCAATATGGCCGACCCGTGCATAAGGCCCATGGAATAGGTACCTGCTCTATGTTTCGACACCACTATATTCCGACACCCCTTATTTTCCGACAACCCGCAAATATTAAGATTGTGTACTCCAGGTTATAGGTTAGGCCAAAAAAAAGTCTCAGGTTTCTGGTATGCGCGCTCGTCGCCGTAGCCATACGCGTCGGCAAAATGAAAAAGTTTTTTTCAATGAAACCTCACTGGTTTGATTGGAATCCTGCTGCTGCACAATTTTAACGTGTTTTTAGATGGGGTTATGATCGAAAATAAGCTTTATGTGGCCTCTCTGGACTCCCATGTATTTGCACTTAGTTTATTCGGGCACCATTTGCAGTCATCAGCCGACAACTTGAGGCAAAAAAAATCAGGTAAAAAAAAAGCCGCGTTGCCGCACCACTTTTTGGGCAAGCTCCATAACAGAAACCGGAGACTTATTTTTTTTTTTTTTTGCCTTAGGGTTAGGGTTGGGATTAGGGTATGGGGTTAGGAATAGGAATATGTGCAGCCGGAACATAGGGGTGTCGGAACATAAAGGTGTAACCCATGGAGCACCCCTTTCGAGAAAATGAGCCATCACCAGAATGACCCCCTCCCGAATTGGACACCATAATTATGGTACTGAACGGACCAACCGACACAAGTTGAGACTTCAGCAATCCACCCTTTCACCAAACAGAAGATAGGAGTGGTCCTATAACGGAATGATCCTCGTGGGAACATTTTTATCGTGTATTTTTATCCTATTTAGTTTTGTTGTGATCAGTGGAGTATTTGTTGACGTAATTTATGTTGACAATCTTTGGGTGCGTCCGGAGTCAATATTTACTTTTTTACAGCGCTACTGTGAAATCCAGGGGAAACAAATAAACTTCAAGTGCACAGATTGCAATGGTTAGACTCTGTACATCTTCACTATTCAAGAGGAGTACATTTAAAGCGAACATTTACACCGGCAGATCCAGGGGGGCGCAAAGATGCCGATTTATAAATCTGTTTACAATTAAGCCACGAACGAGTGAACGCATCTGTTTTAAGAAAGATACTGTTGTTTTTGCTCCTCCATTCTCCCCTTTCCTTCAACGCGGGTATTTGAAATTTAGACTCTTATGAAATCCGGTGTAACTAGGGATTCCAATCTTACAAATTATGTCATTTTACAATGCATTATTTATACCAAATTGTTTCCTCTCATTCTACACTCGCTCTGTCAACCCAACACTGTTAGTCGAGCATGTTTTCAAAGGATTGATGATGGTATTCAAAACAAGCCGCATTCGCATTATTATTGATCAAAATTTCTTTAGGATTAAGTAAGTTGTATAAGTAACGTTACTTAATTAACGTTTCCAAATTTCTTCTGATTGTGCATTCGAGCAGTTTATGCAAATGAGGGGAATGCAAGGGGGAGGGTGTTACCACCAACCCCTGTGGCTTCGCTAAGAACTTTGGGAAGACAAGAATAACCTTCACGATTTTTCTGAAAACCACTGAATGACCCAACAAGAAATGAGCTTTCATCCTAAATGCTTTCCACCCAGTAAATTGGACCCCAACTGCCACACTACCAACTGACAGACAACCAAACAGATTAATTAATAATTATCCCTTCGCGTGCTAATTTTTGGCGCTGTGATATTAGACGGCTGCATGGAACCAATCATTGACACAATGTAATTTGAGCTACCCGGCCCTCAAAGTCCACCATTCACCCAGATTAACCCCTGGTATCACTCCGGCCCTATAAACAGTCAATGAAACCAGACACTACCCTCCTCAATGCCATTTGACAGTTCCATTTTGGCCACAGGGGTGATCGAGGTAATCCCTATGTGAACAATGCATTTGTACACAAGCCTATGTAATTGCGCACAAGCACACTAGGTTTTCCCGCCAATTTCCAACCCCTCCAGTAGGATCACAAGACTTACACCCCCTCTAGTGGATGTACCATGGTCCATACTAGGATCTAGTGACAGATGACCTGGGCATGGCTACCACGTGGCTGGGACAATAAAAAACAAAGAAATGTGGAAGTCAGTTTATTCACACTGACTCCAGGTAAGGCGGATCAACAGACAATACCCCCCCCCCCTTCCCTTCCACCAAACATAGGATGGGAGTGGCCATGGGAGTGGTATGAATTTGCTCGCTGGGGAAAAATATGATTCTTAAATAACACTTTGAATGTGGTATGGAACTGGAAGTAAAAACTATATTATTGTTGTTTTCAGTGGAGAAATACTTTATACTTGACAGGTGCGTGTCAATATTTGTTTATAGCGGTATGGCAAAATGCAGGGGAAAACCAAATACCGTATCAATGGCATGACTTTGTTTATGATTAACTATTTAAAAGGAGGTCATTTAAATCGAACATTCACACTGGCAGATCCAGGGTGTATATAATTAATCAGAGAACGACTAAAGATAACGATTCTGTAGTTTTACTCATTCCCGTTTCCTCCTTTCGTTTGACAGGTTTTCTTGAAACTGTCAGCTTTAAGCAGCATCAAATCCCTGGACGTCTATTTTTGTTTAGGTTTGGGCATTAAGCTGTAAAGCTTCTTAAGGGTTCTGAGTTACAGATGATGCCAAAGCGAAGACGAACCTGACCTTTGCAAAATAAACAACATCATAAATAATTATCTGTTAAAGTTATAGGCCTAGTCCATCATTTGCAGCTACCGAAATGTAACTGGCGTAACATACTCGGTTGAAAGATATTAAGGAGACTAAACTCCCAGTGAAATTATTCTTTCTGGCAAGCTGTCGTTTTGAAGTAATCAACGAAAGAAGGCCTTTCCAACGCTGCTTCATAAGACGCACCATAGGAATATTTAAATTAGTAGTTCGTTTTGTTATTCGGCACAGCACGCGCAAGCATTGCGCGACGCACACGCACCCCCGGTTGCTATAATTCGTCGGATCAGTGCGCAACACGCGTAGCTGCAGTCGGTTCAGCGAGAATGTGGTGCTCTTGATTTGAAATTAAGATCCTAGAATGCTGTTTTTCTCGGAGTATACAGTTGAAGCTGAGCTGAAACTTCATCAAGTTAGTTTTTCAGTGCCCTTCTTTAGATTTTGAGCACTGTTTTTTTGGCTTCAAACGAACAAAATGCACAAATTACAAATGATGGACAATATCTTTAATCAAAGGCTGGAAACCCCTTCGTCCATGCAGAAACAACCGAACCACTTCGTTCAAACCACTGAGCCGGAATTGTCAATATTATTTATTTATCTAGCCACAAGTGAAGCTTTCTGTTGCTAGTCATGCAATAAGTGTCATCATTGTTATGGGCATGGCATGATTTTCTTTTAGCCATCAATCACAGCAATCTCTCGGATGTTGTCATTTCCATTTAAAGCCAGCCCACGGCGCTAGTGATTATTTGAGCGCAGACTGTGATCAGTGCTAGTCAGCTAACCACATCGCTAACGTTGTTTTCCCTTACAAAGGCGTTCGTAAACGGCCTTTTGATTTTTTTAAACATCCAACTTGAAGTCAAATTCTAGAGCACCTGTTTTACAGAAGGACGTTGTGCCAACTATTCTACCTCGGATCTGTAATTGTAAGTAACACGCCTATTATTATCTATTCAATATTGTGTTTTGGCATTCACCGACGTAGTTTTATAAACACTGTTTATTGTGCCCCCGAGTGATTGTGAGAAAAAAAAACAATCGGGTTGGATGCGAACCCACGACCTCCTGCTTACTACGCGGATATCGGGGACAGCTGGCTGGCTGGTTCTGTTTTTCGCAAGCACTCGGGCCGGGGCCGGGGCCGGGGCCGAGGCAAAACTGAGTCTACAGTGTTTTTAAAGATACGTCTGTGAAGGGCAAAACACAGTATTGAATCTACATTACCCGACGCAATTCCATCTTATGACAAGTATCGTTTTTTTAATATTAGTTTTCATATTTTATACATAGGCCCATAAAAATGGCCTATGCTGGTGGCTTAATGCATTCATGTATGTAAAAAGATAAAAGGGGAAATGCTATAAAGTGGCTAAACTAGAAAATAAACAGGAAAATAACAGTCATTGAACGGAATCTTAGGTCTATTTCATCAGTTGCAAAATTGTCTAAATGGATTTCAATAAATCGTCGAATTTGATCACCTTTATTCATGGCAAGGATTCAAAAGTAAAAGTTCCCTTAATGGTCCACAATAGCTAAGCTTTAAAAGCCTTAGCTTTGTTGCTCATTTAAAATTCATATAGGATCCTGAGAAAGATACACTTTAATTAAGGCACCATATATACAACGACACAAATGTTTTGAACAATGTTTGCTTTTTTGCCTCCATTATAGAGACAGCAAAAATGACGAGGCGAGTCGGAATGCAGTGGGTATCAATATCATTGCTGTTATGCTGTAAGTAGTCACAAATTTCATGCGATCGGGATGCATGCATTGTAAACTCTGTAATCTAAAATGTATATATTTACCAAATTACAAGTGAGTTGATTGAGTCCTACACTATTTGCGGTTGGACGTAAAATGCCGATGTGGACTGGTTGTGAATTACGGACAAATATACCGTTTATCATGGGAGAAAAATCATAGGTTTTTGTTCAATGACACATTGAAAGGGAAGAATTTTTTGAATGGCCTGGAAAATAGCACTTGAAAAAAGTGTCAGTGGAACATAACATGGCGAATGATCTTTGAATACCTTTAAGGACAAATGTACCATTCGGGAAATCCTAACCACATCTCTGGAACGAATCACTGAAGCACGCTTCGTGAACTGCTGCAATGATTTTCTCTTAATTAATATGTAAATGCTTTACTTAAAATCATGAGGGAATTCTGACGGCATTTTGGTCCAAATTGAAAAACATATATGATTCGACTTTTGTGATTCGATACGATTCAAATGATACGATTCGGCCTACTTTAAATTGCCGTAACTAAACTAATCACGACCAATACAATGTTATCTGGATATGATTTAAACAAAAATAAAAAAAGGAATCGTTTAGCTGCAGCAATACCTCTTTGAATAGATTTTTTTATAAGATGTAATAAAATCAGAAATATTTTTTCGTTCATTTGGTTCAGGTGGGTTCGTTCAAGTGAGCACTGATGGAACCGTATTCTTGGAACGAGGCCACCGAGGGATCGTTCCCTGTCCTCTCGTAGAATCCTGCCAAATTCCGATTGGAGACATCTTAGCGATGTACTGGTTCTATGGCTCAACAAGCGACACCTCCCTGCTCATCTCCTACTTCATTGGAAAAGTGGCTCCCCAAAACGGGATCCCACAGGGCGTCTATGATATCGACAATGAGTTCAGTCTCGTCATTGAGAACGTCACCGCCTTCAATGAGGGAACCTACTACTTTCAGGTCAAACCGCGTTTGAAAGTGGTAGAATCAGGAAGCGTAGAGGTCTGTGACAAGGGTAAGTGCACGATAATAATGATTTCATGATCGTGCAACCAGGCGCGGTTCTAGATCCCATATTTTAGAGGGGGCTAGACCCTTCGCACGTGACGTCACCCTTTATGTTCTTAAGATTGTTTTGTTTTGATTGTTTTGTTTTTTTGGCAAAACAGCCTTTGTTATTTTATTTTTTCAGACTCCTGCCCATAGCATTTGTACACGTTTTCATCGTGCCCGGCACTTTGGGCTCTACCATTTATCCAATTGCCTCTGTACTTACTTGGCATATACACATAGCCCAGCACCTGAAGATTTTTTTTACCGAACATTGACGTCATTATGTCGTCATCACGTGTCACGTGACGTCACATTATAAGTGCATATTTTGAAGGTCTATATCTATAATTAAATAATTTGTCCAGGCTGTTCCACCTACAAGCCTTGGCTTATGAACAGCCTTGTACTTCCCCACATTACTCTTTGTTTACATTTTCCCTATTTATTAACCTTAATTTTAATTAATTAACTTCAAAGTATTATTTTTTTTAATTATATATCACTGTTTTATATTATCCCACTTTGTATTGGTTCACTAGAGAGTTCAAATTGAATTCTTAAATGTTCCTCTTTGGAATATCTCAAATTGGAGATCTGAACCCATTAATGATGAGACTTATATCCTATACAATCTCTCTGACGATTAGTATACCCTGGGGTCTGATCTGAATTACCGAGTCTTTGGCTTCTTTGACCAATTTTGAAAGAGTGAAGGCGCTCTTGCAACGCCACTTTTTTGGTATGCAATAACAAGAAGAATTTTCATATAAGCAGTTGAGTAGCTTTAATTTAACAAACAAAGATTGTCAAAGCAGCCTAACTCAAGAGTATAAGGCATCCCCACTCCAAAACTTTCCATGGGTTTGCTGTCACGTTAACTTTCTGATCTTTTCTCACGATAGTCTCCCCAAGTCGTCCATATCCTACCGTCATCGGCTGCAATCAAGACCACGATGCAGACACGTGCGAGGTGAGAGTACGACACGACAGCACGGTGCATAACCTGACCTGCGTCATGGAGCAGGTCAAACCTGCCGTGCAATTGGGGTGGATCCGTCTGTTTTTGGGCGGGCAGACGGAACTCAATGCCTCCACGACAGTCGGGCCTGTAGTTCTACCGGCCTACACGGGTAAGCAGCGTTCTTGGTAAAAGTAGTTTCATTCCGAAACAAAATAATAATCCTTTTCTAAATAGCTTTTGTTTTAGCAATGGAAAATACAAATTCGAATTACTGGCAGTCGGACAATAAGCCGCGGGGAGGGCTGGTTTCCGCCTCATGGTCATTATCGATAATGTATGGACTGGGAGCCAGTCTACTCGCTGTTTGTACGCAAAATATAAAAGAAAGTCACAGAGTTGAAGTTGAAGACGCCCTAAAAGAGGTTGGTTGGCAAGGGAAACGCAACTTTTATATCGTGTAGTGTCTGGCTGTTTCATTTTGACTGTTGTATTATAATTAAGCTGAAGTGGTATTGATTTCCTTAGAGGTCGGTCGTTGTTCCCCCCCCCCCCCCGACAGTTAAGCCCCAAAAAGTGTCCGGTTTCTGGTATGGAGCTTGCCCCAAAAGTGGTGCGGCGACGCGGGTATTTCCCCCTACTTTTGTTTTCTTCAAATTTCGGCTTATGTTGCAGATGATGCTTCAATCCTTCAGAGTGGAGCTTGAGGAGACCTCATAAGGCTTGAAACTTCTTCACCCACTTACGATCTCGACCGAAACAAACAGTCTTCAGGAAATTTTGATAGTCAAGACAAACATCAGAAAAAAAACGGTAGTATAACGTTAGACCATACATCGACATCGACTGGTCATTAGTCTGCTCCCTTACATATTGCAATAATTAAAAAGCGTTTACAGGTTCCAGATACACGACCATCGCTCCCTCAGTCTGGCTTCCAGATGCACAGTTACAAATTACAAAATAATGGGAGCCCAGAGAGACCACATAAAACTCATTCTCGATCGTAACCCCATCTAAAAACACGTTAAAATTGTGCAGTAGCAGGATTCCAGTCAAACCAGTGAGTTTGGTGGTTTTGAGCCATCATCTTATTTTGAAAAAAATACTTTTAAATTTTGCAGGCGCGCATGTCTACGGCGACGCGCGCGCATACCAGAAACCGGAGCTTGCTTTGCGGAGTTTGCTGTAAGAATTTGTTTCATGTGGGCACCGTTGATCAAATAAGCAAATAAGCACAAGAGCCTTGATAAATTGGCACATAGCTTCTCACAACTGGTACATTATCCTTCTTGTGACTGAAGAATGTTTCTGCTCTTTTACAAGTGGTAAAAAGTGTATCGTTACTAAGTATGTCAAAATATGATTGATTTGAAAATTACCAATCAGGGTCGTCGTTGAGGAACAACACCTATTCAACTTCAGCATCAGTCCAAGTGGCAGCAGTTGACGATGAGGAAGTCTACGAGTGTGAGGCAATGGGTATTGCAATAGGAAGCAGTACACGCACGAGGGTGCGCCTTACCAAAACTTACCCTACAACGGCAACTTATGACACAACGGCAACTGACAATGAAATGCAGTCCTCCAATAATCCAGGTATAGGTAGCAGTGTCATGTCGGAGCCATTTTGGTGTGGATTAATTGTCTATTTGGTTGAGGGTTAATCCTCACGTGATTCGCCCATTGCAGAAACTCAGTGAATCAAGTCGGATATCACTTGAATCAAATCACACATCAATCGAATCAAGTCAGGTATCAACTGAATCGAGTCAGATACAGCAATAAAATTAAGTAAGATATTGTTTTTCATTGCTTTTTGTCTCTTTTCAGGAACAACGCTTGTTTTGATGGACGAGGTAACACCACCTGCCTTCCCATTTACCCTGAGGCTTGCTCTGACGATTACCATATTGGTAGTGCTATTTATCGCAGTCATCTTTGATGTTATTTTACGTATGTTTCTCCACGAAGTAAGTATATTGTGAAGAATTATTCACTGCTCAAGGAGGGATAAGGAGAGAGGATTTTCTTGTCAACATTTGGGAAACAAGAAGCTTCGGAAAATCGTAAAGCGGGGGGGGGGAGGGCTGGACTTCCACGGAAGAGGTATACTAAATCGTGATTAATCAAGTGTTTGGTACTGTTTCTAATATCCTCAATTTTGGATCAGTTAAGATTATTTTACCGATGACAATAACGTTAAAACTGACAAGGACATTATGGGGTTTGCGGAGGTCACATGGTTTTTAATGCTTAATATAAAAGGATTGTTTTCTGAGAGAAATTAATTTTCCATTTTTCAAACCTCAATCTCTTGTCTTTGGGCGATCAACTACTTATCCTAATTTTTTGGCTATACTTCGACTAAACTTTTTATTTGTAATGGTTAATGTTTGTCATTCGTGCAGGTGCGTCTACAGAAGATTCTCAATGCACACATTCGTGAATCGGAGATTTGATAACAAAATGAATAAATTCTTTGTAGTATCAATTGTATTCTAATATTGCCACATAGGGAACCAGATCGCGTGTTCTTGTGGAACCAGTGGCAGTAATGCGAGTGATTATGTGTAGAAAGTAAAATTGTGACCTCAAGAACGAATGGCATGTATGATCTTATGAACACTGAAATATTTAATATGTATTGTGCAAAATAAAAATGGGGGAAAGCACAAGTTATTATCTTACTGATCAGTTATCTGCGAAACGGGCGTCTTGTTGGCATAGTAAAATTCCTAAATCCCGCAAAACTTAACTTTACCAATTTTATTTGTAAACCAAAAACCGTGTTGAATAGTAAAATAGGAAATATTATGATTAGATAATAATATTATAGCAATGAAGATGGATATTGTTACTAGAATGACGTGGGCAATATTGTCTGTCCTTTCCCAACAATTGTTTTCTTAAATATGCTGGATTCGTTAGTGACTGATTAATACCTGGGTGAGATATTCCAGTCGGACAGTGCACGTAACTACAGACACTTTAAGGGGGCATAGGAGTTTTCCCTTTGAACGTACAGCGGATGGTAGAAGGTAAATTAACCCTGGAAATTCAACAAAATTTTAAAAGTTGTCTGACAATGGCTACGACATAAAATAGTGTCGGGATTAAATTAGGACGGCGTGGACCACCCGATGTGTACATTGCTCTTAGAGTCATTTAGTGACATGTAATTATGTTTAAATTTGCAAGAGAAAGTTGAGAGATTTCTGTGATGGATGCAAAACAAGTTATCGTGTGTTATACTTTGTTCATTTCCACCATGCAAACGTACATATCTCATTCATGGTGTGTTCTTACATAGAATTATAGTTTTATTCTTTCCATTTAGGTCAAGACTTAGTGACCGAATTCACACTGAATTAAACAGAAAGCTCATTTGTAAATATTTTCTATGCGGAATAAATCAATTGCTGCACAGTGCTTTCTAAAAAGAATCTTATTCACTTCTAATGTTCGCATATGTCTTCGCAAACAATTTTTCTACCTCCGTAATCTATTGCAGGTTCTTTGTAGATTTAAAATTGAATGATGATTTTTTTCTCTTTTGCATTAAGAGGAATTTGTTGTGTGTTATGCATATCGATCCATTGTTAAACTTTTATTCGGCTGGGATTTTGTGTATAATCTTTGTAATTTTACATTGGGCTTATACATATGCCTTTTGAACATATTTTGTAAAATATTTTTTACATATTTGACATAGGTTTCCCAATTGGTTAATCCTCTCGTGTATCGCCCATCGCAGAGGAACAAAGACCTCCTCGACGTAACGTCACATGAAAGGGGTCTATTGGGTAACAATGCAAATCGGGGAACCGATTCTGATACTTATTGAATCAAGTCAGATATCAATTGAATCAAGTCAGATAACAATTGAATCAAGTCACATCTCAACCGAATTAAGTCAGATATCAATTGAATCAAGTCAGATATCTATTGAATCAAGTCAGATATCAATTGAATCAAGTCAGATAAAAATTGAATCGAGTCAGATATCAATTGAATCAAGTCAGATAAAATAGAATCGAGTCAGATGTCAATTGAATCGAGTCAGAAATCAATTTAACAGAGTCAGATGTTGTACATGATTATGGCAACTTGACTTTCTTTCAGAGACAACGCTTTTTTCGGCACAGAAATTATCACCATCTTCCTGCATACCTGCAAGGCAACCCGAACCTGTGATTGTGCTTGAAGTCGGATTGTTTATCTACTCATCGTCATTCTCGTTATTCACATTGTAAGTACAGTGGACGCTCGTTTATACAAACTCCGTTAATTGATATAAATTTTGGTTATAATTATAGTAAACATATATCATTGGTCCCGACCTTGCAATTTATGTGTACAATGAATGGGACCAGTGTTCCTCTTAATGCAAATTATTATAATGATTGTTATTAATGCAGATATGTTTAAAAAAGAAACTCAAGAAAGACAAGTATGCATCGAAGACGAGGATTTTGGACTGGGTCAATTCTGCGGAGGGTAAATATTATTCTACAGTTTGCACCTTGGGAACCAGATCGAGCGGCTCTTCAAGAACCACCGACGATGGTATAGGTGATTGTGTGTAAAAAGTAACATTGTGCTTCAAGAATGGAAGTACTGTCTGATCTTATGAATACTAAAATATGCAGTTTAGTTTGCTTGCCAATTTTGAATTGGATATTATATTAAAAAGGTAACCTCGAAAAGACGCTTTGAGATTTGTACAATGTAATATTATCTGAATTCAAATATATGCGATTATGCAAATGAGAAGTATTTCGTATGTATATATTTGTACATGTAAATTTTATTGGCGTTGGAAATGTTATAAACACCGAGAAGTTGTTATGTTTTGTCCATGTTAATATTATGAATAAGTATTGCACTCATGGGCGTCGCGAGGGGGGGGGGGCAAGGGGGGCACTTGCCCCCCCCCCCCCCCCCACCCGGGAAAGCCCCCCCCCAAAAAAAATTTTTTTTTTTTATTTATTGTTCTGAATATATATTATCTGAATATATATTATCATTCTGACCATGAATTATTTACCCCCCTAATACTTATAGGAGCTTTGTGGCTTAAAAGGATTCCGCAAAAGATAATTATTACATCCAATTCTACTTATCAGTAGGGGATCTAGAGGGGAGCCCCACCCCCAATTTAGTCGCTGACTGATGTTATGAATATGATCCTAGTCAAATGGGGCCAAAAACTTAAATAGAACGCTAATGTTCCTATTTTTATATATATATATATATTTTTACAAATGGCCTTATTATGCTGGACAAAGCATCGTATATCCCAAAATGTCCAAGGGGCAACCTCCCCGGACCCTCTATAGCAAAGTGTGCCAACAATCAAACACCCTCCAACCCACCTTCATACTCCACTCCACCTTTAAGATGGATGGGGTATTTTTGTATACATACGTCGAGTGACTGAGGGTGAATCGACCCTGTATTAACCAGAGATTAGAATCTATCTCCAAAACGACACTAAAATAATTGTGGGGTTAAATTATTATTGCATGGACAACGCAGCAGGCCTAGTTGTTGTATTTACTTACGTCCTGTCAGGAATTTTGGGTTCTCAAGGAGCTGAGCATGACACATTTAAAGGAAACATGCAAAAGGATTTTTATGACTTTTAAATACATTTAAACAGCCTTTTTGCTATGTAGGTATGACAAACGTTTGACTTTCCACCTCATTTGTAGCAATAAAAGGGAAAAAATTCACCATAGTAATTTTTATGTTCATGAAAATTTTGCATGAGCCGAAGCATGATGCCATTCAAGGAATAACAGTAGTGTCTCCATAGCTTTGTGTACAAAATTAATGTATTTTTTCCCCGTTTTGGGGGAGTAAGTTCCAATTTTACTTGTTTATCATGTTAAACAGCTTGTTTGGAAAATATTAGTTGCCAATATTTCTTCAAAACTTTGTTGTGGGTAGTTTTAAAGGACTAATTGTTGTATATTCTGTTCATATGCAGCCAACTGTTAATCTTAACCGTTTGGCACTTGGCGACTTTTTTAAATAGTGAGTCTTACACCTCTTATTCCACATGATTCTACTCGTTACATATCGACGTCACACACACCACAGTCTAGTGTCATCTAATGTTTTGTATAAAAGTGATAATAAGTTATTAATAGAAATTTATTTGAACATTTGGACGTTAAGATTAAGAAAATTAAAACAAGTTCAGGAATGAACCGAAATGTAAAAACTGTCACCCTGAGATGTGTTCCTCCAAATACCCCCGTTTACCATCGGGGTAAAAATAGGAAAAAGTGTCTTAAAAGAAAAAACTTATCCCAACATGGATACAATTTTCGTCACTGACACCATGCTGACACCCAGAGCATGTTGTAGCAGAGGTGGCAGCAAGTCATTTTTTGCAAGTCCAAGTCAAGTCACAAGTCATTGTTTGCAAGTCCAAGTCAAGCCACAAGTCATTAGGTCCAGTCATTAGGTCCAGTCACAAGTCAAGTCACAAGTCATTAGGTCCTGTCACAAGTCAAGTCACAAGTCATTTGGTCTAAACACAAGTCAAGTCACAAGTATCTTTGTCCAAGAACACGTCAAGTTGCACATTATTTTGTCCAGCTGTAATAAGCTAAAAGAACCTGGCGTCAACTTACGAGTTATTTTGAACATGCCTCCTTAATTCCCCTTTTTTCAATGTCTTGCAATTACTATTCTTGTAGTTTATCACATACAAAAGTATACCTTTGTACACTTTAATAAATGTACTTTACATTGTAGAAATAAATGTTGAGATGACCGCGAAAAAAGACTTCCTCACTCGATTACATGTAGTATACTAACACTTTATTTTTCAATTTTTATGTATACTAAACGCCTACCAATGGGTTAGGCTATCCGGTATTTTACATGCAATTGACAAAGGCCTGCTTTCTTTTCATGAAAGGTTCCTTTCAAAGTTTGTT